TGTATCCCACGATTTGTGGACTTTGATGAATAAATTGACTTTACCCACTCAAAAAAATCATTATTTGAATAATAAGTAAAAAAAATGGTGAATTGGAGATGGGAGGTATCGATTCACGAAGGGATTTTTCAAACTCCACATGCCACCACGTTTGGTTAGGCCAGCCCCAGGCCCGACTTGTATCCCACGATTTGTGGACTTTGATGAATAAATTGACTTTACCCACTCAAAAAAATCATTATTTGAATAATAAGTAAAAAAAATGGTGAATTGGAGATGGGAGGTATCGATCCCCCTGCCTCTTATCAGCATATATAAGCGCTCTACCATTTGAGCTACATCCCCATTTTTATGTCCTCTAAACAAATCAAGGCTATTTATATATTAATTAATAACTGTTATCCAGGATTAACCTGCCGGTCGTCATTAATCGTCCATTCCGTTCAATCGTGCAATTGCAATTTTTGCTTCATCTACGTCTATTTTTCTCTTGCAGATCTCTATGTAGCTATCAGCATGGTGATGTGATGGCCCATAGAATAAGTGAATTCAGACGCCTGTTGTCTGACGGAAGGGACTGTGCTGCTTCATGTTTTCAGAAAAGGACTGAAGGGCTTCAGTTAGGAGTAATATACTATCTGTACAACTCCAGGGATTAGTTGGAACGTACAGAGGCATCTTTGTTCATCATATATGTCCCGGTAGTTCCGAGACGAGAGGAAACAGACCAGAATTTTGTAAGGTAGGATGCTGGGCTGATCACTAAGTACCAAAAAAAAGAGCTAGGAACTTAACATTCGCTGCTGCTCGGTATACCTTTGCCAAAGAAGCGGGGCATCAACATGAAACGAAACAGTGAAATGCAACAGAAATCGTAGGGTTAACAGAATCACTTGGAGAACATGACTTGCATATACTGGTTCAGCAGAATAATTTGGCCAACCAAATATAACTATGATTGCAGCACTCTGAGTCTATAACAGCAGTGCACCGCCAAAACAACCCCTCATTTTATGGGTCCCAGAAACCAGGCTCCAAGCAAAATCCTGAAACCAGCTAATATGTAGAGATGCCCAGCATGGGGAGGGATGATCTTGTCCATGTAAGGATGAAAATCATGTCAGCAGGCAATTTTGGCTCTGATGCATTAACCCTGCAGTGGAGGCAAATCCATGTAGTCATTCAGTTACATGTAGATGATTGTTGTTACTAGCAATTAAATCACAATATATGCTGACATCAGAGACAAAAATTAGCAAAGTACTTGCTCAACAGAACGTAACTGGAACTAAATAATTTTGGGCGGCCAAACCTAAAGACCAATGAAGATCTTGCTCGAGAGCTCCTTGGGCTCTCGCGACCGCGTCGCCCCCGCGGGCGACCGGCCGCGCCCCGATCTCCTTCTCCAGCGACCCTCCCTCCTCCTTCCCTCCCCGCCGCCGTCGTCGGCGCTCGCCGCCGGGCCTGGCCCGGGCGACGTTGGCGGCGGCGCCCCCCTCGCAATTCCCCTCTCGGCACTCCTCTGGCGCGGGACGGAGCGGGCTGGGGGGTGTCCCTAGGCAGTGGCGGTCCGGCGTGGCGGCGGGGTCCTGGCGCTGCGCGGGCGGATGGTTGGGCGGTGGCGTCGCCGTTGGCGGCGGGGTAGCGCGGCGGCGCGTTCTGGCGGCGCCCGCTCAGCCCAGATCTAGGCCCTTCGGGCCCCATCTGGGCCCGGGCGGGCTGGCGGTGGGGTGCGGCTGCGGCGCGTCCTCCAGGAGGCGCGGGAGAGGCGAAGAACGGCAGGGTGCTGGCGGCGCCATCGCCGGCTTGCTGCAGCGTGGCGGCGGGGCTTAGCGGGCCCGTTTCGGGCCTGGCCGGGCCAGGGGTGGCCTGGCATGCCCTGCTGCCGCGTCCGGACGGCTACCGCGACGGTGCCGGAGGTTTTGGCCTCCCGCACGACGGCGATGGAGGTGGTTCCCTCCCGTTCGGCTTCGGTGTTGCTTCTCCCTCCGCGGGGCACTTTTCTCCAGTCCTCTTGGCCTCGTGTTGGTGTCCGCAGTGAGGCGGCATGGGTGCGGCGCACCCGTGATGACGCATGCTGGTGGGCGGTGGTCTGGCTGGTCGGCTCCGGTCCGTTGGGCGGTGGGGATGGAGTGCGGGAGAAATCCTTGCCGGTTCTTCGGCTTCGATGCGGTGACACCTGCGGGTGCCACCATTCCTCCCTGAAGGGTGTCGGTGATATCCATCCCCCACCTTCCTCCGCGTGCCGGGGGAAACTCTAGGACATGTCCGGGCAGCAGCTTCGTCGGCGTCGCATTCCTTCTTGGAGGTGCTGCTTGGTACGCGGTGGTTCGGAGCCTCGGGTTGTGGTGGTTTGTGTCTGGAGGGCGTAGCGTTGGCGGGTCATCCGCGCTTTGTCGAGCTGCCGTTGTTGGCATTTATTTCTTCTTCTTTTTCTTTTGGGCTTGCTGTGCTGTTCGCCCCAGCTATCCTTGTATCGGTGTTGGTTGCTTTGGAATACAAAGCGGGGGAAACCCTTTTTCGGTAAGACCAATAAAATTGACGTAGACTCAGCTAATAAGAAAGTTCTCTTTGGTTACTGAGTATAGATGCAAAAAAGAAAGGGAATTGCCAATATAGAAGATTGCATAAACCCAAAATGCAACCAAGATACGGACGCGAATTTTTGGAACATGGCGCCACGCGAGGATGTAAGGTAGTCCATGCATGCTATGTGATTAGCACCTTATATAGTGATTAAATGAATACGCCAACGCTATGCTACGTTAATTTAGCAAATACATGTATATGGGCTGGTGGTTGGGCATCTTAAATGAAGCCGATACATACTTGAGAAATCAATGTGAGGTGTTGCGCCAGTGGTTTCCCTGTACACCTTGAATGTTGGTAATTAAACCATGTGGGATTAACGACTCATTTTTTCTTCTTTGGTCAACCGTTGTTCATAGTAGGTGTTTTTTTAAGTTCTTCATATATAGTACTTGTTGGGATTGTAATAATGCCTCCCCTAGTGGAGATGGTAGGGTTCAGCATATATATGATGTTTTCATTTTTCAAACGTCATATACATGATGTTAGGGGCCTAAGACAATTTAATTAGTCTTATTGAGGAGGAGATATAACCTTACTTGAAATAAAAAATGTTAACACAAACATCTATATATGCCAAGCTTTAAAAATTGGATTGCAAGAAACTAGTATTACATTTAGGGGCAGCTGGGTTGTGGTCTTCATTACTATACTAAAGGTACTTGATAATTATGCAAATAATACTAGCAAATTAACATGAACATGAGTAAATCTGCTAGGGTAGGTTGTGATAATGAGCCATTATCAACATCATTATGGTGGGATCAATGGCAAACGGGATGTAGGCCAGACATCATCATTGCTGCCGAAAGCCAGCATACGTCTAGCCACTGACATGTTAATTTGGATTATTTTCACAACTGCCACACTCCTGTCCATCTCCTATGCTCCCACACATTAGGTGCTCCCATGATACATTTTTTCAAGAAACATATTTAGCTGTTTCAAGAAATTCTGAAAATAATTATGAGTGTTCATAAGACATATGTTGACAACCTGTAAAAAGTTCAACTCAAAATTTCGAAATACACATGGGAAACAAAAAGGAGAAATCAGAATGTAAATAATGTCATTCTGGCTTTTGTCTTTTTGTGGCACTATTCATACTGAATTTGTCTTTTTTGTTTCTTGATGTGTGTTTTGAATTTTGATTTGAAATTTTTACAGATTGTAGACACATGCCTTTTGAACACTCACAAATTTTCTGAGACATTTAAACATGTTTTTGAAAAATGGTAGCATGATAGCATGTAATGTGTGGTAGCATCTAATATTTTTCCCTCTTACCTGAAGCTGGTAGCACATAAATGGACAGTAACTCAATGCGTACTGATCTGCACAAAGCGGCAGGGGGCGTGTTGTAGTTACCCATTCAGCCTGACAAAAACTTAATGCGCTCAGAGCGAATGTACTACCTGGATACGGTGACAAGATATTAGTATACGCGCTTTGTGTATTAAAACTGCACAAATCACGAGGGAGCTGACCGGCAGGATTACATCCTCGCGTGGCACCGCGTTCACTCGTGATTTATCGCCAAGATACTACATAAAAAGTTTCGAATATTCTAACCCCATCCGCCATTCATCTTCAGTTTTATAAAAAAAACAAGGGAATGTGCACACAAATTCAGCAACATATCATATGTTTTTTCTCTAACATGCATTGAAAGCATGCAATTGTGTATTAGTAATAACTAGTAACATATTAAGGTGATAACTGGATATATACATGTACAGCCAAACTTTATAATTGGCATATAAACGGCACATTGCAACAACTATAGAGATTTTGCACAACATGAAAATCAATGACAGCTTGATTTTACTATATTCTTGTTGCATCTCACTTACCAGAGCTAAGATAAACATTACATTTCACAGAAGGGTATCCCGTGAAGATGTCGCACATTTTCGTGATTGTATCATCACTTGACGAGATCTCATCTGACAGCTTCACAATCACTGTTTTAAGCATTGGTGCAGAACGGAATATCAGTTTCAAGAAATCAAGCTCGTGATCCTCTGCTTCAGAGCCAACGATTTCTAAATCTTCAAGGGCAGTCAAGGAGATAATTTGGGTCCTCCAGTTCGTAGTCTCACAAGGACAATTTGCAGGGCATGCTTCTTCCTCCTAATAGTACCAAAGATGTGAATGGTTACAAAATGTATTATTGAGAATTTGAGATATAAAGCAGAAGGAGCATTACCCATGATCTCTGTCGGACTCGGACGACCTTAAGTCTCCGTATAACACTACAGATCCTATTCAATCCAAGAAGATGCAACACAAATTCTCCAAAAACATGACCTGTTGTTCTCAGATGTAGCTCCAAAGCAAAGAAGTCAGTAACTATATGCTTCTCTAACTCTTGTGCAAAGTTTGCGGCTTCACCGGAAAAACTATACCAGTTCTGAAAAATCAATTTGTTACATATGTATCATTCATAAAGTTAAGTTTAGCTGGTTTTATTTCAGTAAATTGACCAAGAGAGGAGACACACAGTGAAGGCATGAATGAGCAGCGAAGGGGGTTGTCCGGGTATGTCTGCCATCCGTAGTGTGAGGCTTGTTGAGGATCCAAAGACCAAACCCAATAGTTCCATTGTCATAGTGCCACTGCCACGAGACATTCTGGATCATTGGTGCTAAGATGGAGATGCTCACCTGTTGTTCGGCCAATAAGGACAGCGAGTATTCAAGCTACCCCTACTGATGCCAAGTTCATCTTTCTAAGATCAGCCGTAATCCACATAGGAGCCGGAAAGTTGGAGCAAAGATGAGGAGATATACTTTCCTCCCTGCTATTATCATCCAAATCGAGAACTCCCATGTCGCAGTGATTATTCTTCAATCCCGTTGTCCAGAAAAAACTATCATCAGTAAAGTAGACATGATTTGCCTTGAGTGCTGGATATTCTTCAGCATTGAGACAAAGAGATTGATTATGCCCAAGAAATAACACATGGGCACGCAACGAATTGATTTCCTTAAGTTTACTTGCCACCTTGTCAACTTCATACATATTAATTCTGCCTGTTTGCCAAAACACAGATGCCCCAGGTTCAGGTTCTAAATCATAATCCCCAAAGATTCTCCAAATAAGCAGCAGATCACCCCAGGGAGCTTGAACGATGTACACACTGCGAGCTGAAACATTCTCAGATGCCCCCATAATTATCTTCATACTGGCGAAAGGCCCACTAAGATCAAAAGCATGAATTTCTCCAGTTGCAGTCGCTGCATACAATAGGCCATTCTTGTAAGTGCAGTCGTCATAGATATCATGAGGTGGCAGCCAGGTCCACTTGTCATCCCCTACCCTTGCATAAGAGAGCTGACGCATTGGATTGTGGATGAGCACCACAATGAAGCTTTCCGTGGATGCATCGGAGAACACATATGCCTTATAGTGGAGTTCGTGCCGCAGGTTGTCAAGAGCAAAGATTGATGGTGAGTTATAACCATCGTGCATTCCAGTGTGCCATGAGAGTTCATACTTGTGGGCAGCACCATTCTCATCAAAGATGGGCCTCACCTGCTCAATTGTGATCACTGAAGGGAGAGCAATCTGTTCACATGTGACCGGATTGACGAGGTGCATCTCAGATCTCTCATCAGCAGTTATCAGCCAGCCATGTGAGGACCCGATCAAACACCTAGTGCGGATAGGCGGCTCCGGGAGGGTTAACTTGTACGATCGCTTCTCTGCGAGGCTGTAGAGGCATGCGACACTCTCACCAGTGGATTTGGAAGTGTAGAGGAGACTGATAGACTTTGTGGATCGGTTAGGCTAGGATTCCGGCAACAGTGATAGGTATTACCTTTCCTTGTGGCTCGAGGAGCTCCGGTTGCCGGCTATGGCGCCGGTGCCGGCGTGATGGTAGAGAGTGGTGGTGGCGGTGCTTTCCATCAGCACTGAACTAACCCTAGATCGGTAGGGGATTAGATGGGGTGTACGGCGCTACGACGAACCTCGTGATGCGAGCCGCCGACCCCCACCTCTTTATATAGTGCAGGTGACAGGGGCCCGTCACCCATAGTGGGTTGAGCACCCTCGATCAGGGCGCGGATCTAAGGGCCCGGTGGGCCGTTGGGCCCATACGGTGGAGATCATCCTAACATTCTCCCCCTTGATCTCAACTTTTACTTTTGACTGTATACTTTTACTTTACTCGTTTCATAACAGATCAATACATAGAACATGTTTCATCGTCACAGCTCAATTGCCGATAGAATCAGACAGCCACAACGTACCTCTCTGTTTTGAAACAAATTCTTTAACCTTGGGCCCTTTTATTGTCCGGAAATTTTAGACTATACCATAAAACCCATGTCGACTGTGTGTTCGGATCCGAACACACTGGGCGGTAAGCCTTTAATAAGCAGATCTGCAAACACTTGTCTGTTGCTTTTATGCTTCAACCATTTCTATATAATTCCGGACTTTCTCCTTTACAACGCATAACTCTATGTCAGTGTGTTTGGCATCAACACTTGACTCGTTGTCATAGGAGCGAAAAACTTAAAATGGTTATCGCTGTTGTAAACCATTATCAACTCCGGGTACATGTCTTCATAACCATTTTGCCTGTTCCTCAGTCTCATATCAAGCTATAACATATCTTTGCATAACATTGATGATAATTGTTTCATTCTTTGGAGCTTTTCCACACAAAAACCTCCAAGTATGAAAGTTAGCGACAATTGTGGATTTCGCTATACATTTCACAAGTCATGTCTTTGTACTCACAATCTTTTGAGAGCACTTATTTCTTTCAGCTTGAGGCCGATATCTTTGACTCCGTTCCAGTGATCTATATATGGACTGGACATTGCCAAAACAACCCGGATATGTGAACTGTGTCAGGGTAATGTATTGAGCTTCCAACAACTGAAACATATGGTACCATATCCATTTTCAATCTTTTCTCATCAACTCTTGGAACACCATAGTTTCTAGTTCCATTACCCTTAACTATAAGAACAGGCGTAGGTTTTCTCGCATGCATACTTTAGAGACCTTTCTTAGCATGTCCATGCGACATTCCTAATACCCCTTTTATTCTTTTCTTGGTGAATCTTGATAATTATAACGAGAGACACTCTACCGAAAACATTCTTTTGAACTTTGAGAACAAGAACTTCTTTTCTTCTCCTGCAATAGATTGAGGGTCTCTTTGATTCAAAGGATTTTCATAGGATCTTTGAAGGATTAGAATCCTTAGGAATTTTTCCTATGTTGATCGTTTGATTTGTAGGATTGAATCCTATAGGATTTTTTTCCTAAGGATTCATTTGTACTACATTTTACAGGAATTCTAACATCCACTTAAACCTCTTGGAAGAAATTCTTTGTTTTTCCCTTGACACAATCAAACAAACTCAAATCCTAAGGGATCCAATGGACATGCCATTTCAATCCTGCATTTTTCCTATTCCCGTGTTTTTGCAATCCTATGAATCAAAGAGGCTCTGACATGACCACTAGTAAGTAGGATGTCATCCACATGCACAGGATTAGGAAATGAATTTCCCATTATATAACTTTGCATGAATACAATTGTCCTCTCATTTTATTTAACCCAAAACAACATTTGATTGCTTTAGTCCATAAAAGACTCCTTCAGGCAGTATCCCCTGTGTTCTTTACTTTCATCTGATGTAACTCAGATCATAATATCTTTCATCTGATGTAACTCAGATCATGATGTGCTACCAACACTCATTGTAATCTATTCAGTACAAAACGCGCAAAAACCTTTCGATTTAAGTCGTGTTTTACACCTCTACATATTTCCTTTGGAGTCACATTGTCCTTGTAGACTCTTTACAGCCTACTGTTTTGGCTCCATTGGAAATTACTCATCAGTCCCGAACATCGTCGGGATTCACCAATTTCATTTCATCTCACATAGTCTCTTATCATTTAGACAAGCAGACACTTCTCAAAGCTCGAATGAGCGCTTTAAATGAGGTGGGATCAACCTCCATTTGAATTTCACTAACATAGACTTTATAGTAATCAGAAGTATCTGATTTTATCATTCCTTGAGACCATCAGTGTCTCAGGTACTGGCACTTCTCTCATATGGGGATGTGTTGTATAGGTCATACAACATGCTCCCCCAGATTACTCCATCTTCACTAAAAATGGCGTATCTTTAAACTTTATAATTTGGGTTTATTCTGTTAAAACTTTCTTCTTTATGGCACTTTAAGCACCGTCTTAGTATTCCTTACTCTGCTTTCGGAACTGTAAAAGATCCAGAAATACAGCTATTTGTTTTCTTTAGGGGTATTAATATGACCGTCATACTCTCCCAGAAGATCACATTCTTCATCACATTATCTAAAGTATAGGGGAGTTTCAACATTCTTAATTTATCTCATATATCTTTCTCCCCCTCGAAATGTGGCAAGAACTTTTCTGCCACAATTTCGAAAAACCATTGATAACTCTTGTGAATTGAGGAAACTTTGATTATCTACTTCATTCATTAGATTACTTCATACGAAATGAAGTTATCTCTTCATACAAAATGAAGTTATCTTTTAACTAGTATGGGAGTACCTTTTCCTCATTCCATTTCAGAAACTCAATAGAGTTTTTTATCATTAGTACTTTTGCAAGTCACACTTGCATGTCATTCTTATCTTTAGTTTCGTCTGTAACTTTTATTCTCTTCGGATTTATTGAGTGCTTAATGACCGTTACACATAAGATGTACGGTTGATACTAGGAAAGCATAATAGCTACTCCATACTTTTCTCCCAGAGTAGGACACATTAAAAGCACATGAGTCATCATGTCTTTCTCCTGTCATACAGGATAAGTCTGAGAAAAATTCTGCCGCCATACGGGTTACGCAGGGATTTTCTCAGACTTATCCTGCCATGCGGGTTTATCATAATCATCTTTTCCGGCCATGCGGGTAATTCCCTGTAAGGGACATAAATGCTAGAATTGGCTCTTTTGACTGCATATTCAATCATTAAATTTATAAATAAATCCGAATGCTCTTTGACACACATACTTGATCCGACGTTGGTCAAATTAAACACGCATGTTGCTTGTTTTATCTCAAATCATAGAGAGTACATGAAAAACATTCGTCAACCAAGACTCTCAATGATCTATCTCTTTTCTTTTGAAACCATTCTTTAGAGAGAATATACTATCTCACGTTATGACCTTTCTTGGTCATCTTTCGGGTCACTAGTACCCCAACCATTCGCTTTCATGAATGAAAGCATGGAAAACTTTTAGTCTGAGAAAACTTAGCCAATAATCAACAATAATGAGCATAAAAATAACCCTACGTTGGTCTGGTTAAAAAATATGCACATTAAACTTTTGCAAAACTTCCTTTTTATACTCTAAATCATCGTTGTGGTAGAATTAGAATAAAACTCATTCTTCTACATTAATTCCATATCACCGTTGGGCGGAAATGGAAATAATGCATATAACTCATAAACAATGTGATGATAGTATTTCTATTAAACAACTTTGCTCAGAAATAATCATCATCATCAACTTTATTGCAGCGGAAACAAGAAATATACATTTCTCTAGTTCAAGAGCATTTCTTTATCTTTAACTGTTCTATAAAAATTGATCACTTTGATACAAAATTTATAAGAGATTTAAGCTTTGAACATAAGACTCATAGAATTATAGTACTGTTATCATCAA